CACTCTCGGTGATAATCCTGGTTACCAAAGGTGTTGTTGTTGTTGGATGTTGAAGGATTGATTTCGTTGATGGTTGTTGTTGTTGTTTTTGTTATTGTTGTTGATGATGAGGATGGGTTGTGTGTGTGCCATTACAACATTCGGACGCGATTGATCGATTCCTCGCACCTTATGGTGACGGTGAACAGGTTCGATTCGTCAATGAGGGGAGAACGCGGGGATGATGCACACGTCCATCGCGCACTTCGGCCCGGAAAATTTCGAAACTCGCGACTCGGGAAGCGGAAAAGCGATCCGGAAGACGCGCGTTTCCGGACGGAAATGAAAGAAAAAAAAAACAAAACAATTGAATTATTATCAATTGTAGATCGAAACCAAAAGTAATGTGAGGATGGATACGAAAACTTGATAGCGAAACGTGAAGTTAACAGTTGTTGGAAAGTTGCGCTACGGAAAAAAATGTACACATCCTCGCTCTGATAACAGGTACAACGCCATTTTGCCTGAGCAATGTCAATTTATCAGTTTACAACATGAGTTGACACAATCGCATGCGCCATACATACTGCACGAGACGCACTCACACACACTTGCAAGTACTTAATATTTACTTGTATGAGTGTGTGTTTGTTAGTACGTATGGAGAAGAAGGGGGACTTTTTGAATAATATATGTCGCATACACATATATGTGTATGCCGATTTACACTGGAACATCCTTATTCACTCACTCCCACACGTACGCTTTATTGTCGTCGAGGATTCAAACTGGCGCGCGCGTTTTCTGTACGCGCTCCGATGAGGTCAAAGTGTAACTGCTGGCTGGTAACGCGCGCGCCTTCCGAAAGCGAAACCTTATCTAGTCGCCTCTTTTCCCTACCATCTGCTTTCCCATCCACACGCATCAACTTCCACCTCGAAAAGTTCACAATGAAATCCTCTTCAGAACGTTCTCAGAGACCGGAAAACTCAAAATCGAATGTGATTTCCAAGTTTCCGTTAAACAAATTGCGACGAGAAGAAAAAAAATGTATGATAATGTTTATATTTTAAACTCCAAGAGAAGAAATTTACATGTGGGAAATTTTAAATACTCAAACCTGAACTCCTTTTGAAGCTTCAAGTAAACTTTTGGTAAAGTTTACTTTTAAAAATGCGAAAAAAAGAAAATTTTATGTTGGATGTTGGATTTTATTCTATAGATGATCATTTTCAATTAAGAAACAATAATAAATTTGATAAAGTTTCCATTTCAAATTCGAAGAAAATAAAGATTTTAAATCATTGAATCTTTCAAATCGTGAACTCCTTTTGATGCTTCTAGTAAACTTTCGGTAAAGTTTACTTTTAAAAATGCAAAAAGAAGAAAATTTTATGTTGGATGTTGCAAATTCTATAGATGATCATTTTCAATTGAGAAACAATAGTAAATTTGATAAAGTTTTCATTTCAAATTCGAAGAAAATAAAGATTTTAAATCAACGATTCTTTCAAATCGTGAACTCCTTTTGATGCTTCTAGTACACTTTTGGTAAAATTTAACTTTAAAATTGAGAAGAGAAGAAAATTTTATGTTGGATGTTGTAAATTCTATAGATGATCTTTTTCAATTGAGGAACAATAATAAATTTGATAAAGTTTCCATTTCAAATTCGAAGAAAATAAAGATTTTAAATCATTGAATCTTTCAAATCGTGAACTCCTTTTGATGCTTCTAGTACACTTTTGGTAAAATTTACCTTTAAAATTGAGAAGAGAAGAAAATTTTATATTGGATGTTGTAGATTCTATAGATGATCATTTTCAATTAAGAAACAATAATAAATTTGATAAAGTTTTCATTTCAAATTCAATGAAAAAAAAATAAAGATTTTAAATCATCGAATCTTTCAAATCGTGAACTCATTTTGAATCTTCTAGGAAACTTTTTGTAAAGTTTACTTTTAAAAATGCGAAAAAAAATAAAATTTTATGTTGGAAGTTGTAGATGCTATAGATGATCATTTTCAATTAAGAAACGACAATAAATTTCAAATTCGAAGGGAAGAAATCATCGAATCTTTCAAATCCTGAACTCCTTTTGAACTTTTGGTAAATTTTAGCTTCAAATTTGAAGAAATGAAAAAAATATGTTGACAATTCTTTAAATCAATATTTTCAATTAGAAACAACTTCTTCGAACCTTATCTATTTGAACTTATATCGAATCTTTTATGTTTACCTTCGAAATTTGAAGAGAAGAAAATGATCATGTTGAGAGTTGTAGATTCTATAGATCAACATTTTCAATTAAGAAACAACAATAAGTTTGGTAAAGTTTAACTTTCACATTCGAAGAGCATACACATTTATGTTGGGAATTTTGAATTTTGTAAATCAATTTTTCAAATATTCGAACCTTTTCACTTTTGGTAAAGTTTACCTTTAAAATTTCAAAAGGAAGAAAAATTCTTGTTAGAAGTTGTTGATTCTATAAATCACAATTTTCAATTAAAAAACAACAATTTCTTGGAGCAAATCCTTTGAATCTTTTCCTACATATTTTAACTCATTTTAAAGCTTCTGGTAAACTTTTCGTAAATTTTACCTTTAAAATTGCAAAAGGAAGAAAAATTCTTGTTAGAAGTTGTTGATTCTATAAATCATAATTTTCAATTAAAAAACAACAATATCTTGGAGCAAATCCTTTTAATCTTTTCATACATATTTTAACATATTTTGAAGCTTCTGATAAACTTTTGGTAAAGTTTACCTTTAAAATTGCAAAAGGAAGAAAAATTCTTGAAGTTTTTAATTCTATAAATCAAAATTTTCATTTAAAAAACAACAATTTTTCTTGGAGCAAATTCATCGAATATATTCATACATATTTTAACACATTTTGAAGCTTCTGGTAAACTTTTGATAAAATTTAGCCTTTAAATTACGAAAAAGAGAAGAAAAAAATATGGCGAGAATTTCAGATTCCATACATCAACATTTTCAAGTAAAAATAAATATTTTTCAGAGTAAATCCTTCAAATCTTTCTAATGTACATATTTGTACTTCTTTTGAAGCTTATGGTACACTTTCAAAGAAAAACAAGTTATTTTTATTGATTTTAAGTTCAATACAATTTTGACATGAAATGTATGTAACAAAATTTTAAATGAAAATAAAGCAATTAAAAACTAACAGTTTTATTTTTGCTATCGTTACAAATTTGATAATTGCGCGTGCAAAAAAAAAACATAATTAAACGCATTAAAAGAAAACACGTTTTGATTTGCTCTACACGTTTTACATTGAAAATAAAAACGGTGTACGTTTCTTATGTTTTTACATTTGTATTGATTCCTCGAGATATTCGATACAGTTCGGAGGACGTTCGACGAAACCCTTCAAATTTCCAACGGAAAACACGAGTCAGTTTTAAACCATAAAAAAAGGTAAGTATTAAGCCAAATATTAAGCATAGACAAAAAGCAATTGTTAATTTCTTTGTTTTGTTTTCTTGAGGATAAAATAAACCTTCGAAATGTAACTAAAGTAAATATTCATCATCAATGCAATATTAATATTGAATTATGTAAGAAGTCAATAAAATATGCATTGTTTGATGCACTTTGAATTGGATTTAGATGCGTTTTGTGCGATATATTCATGCACAAACAACTAAATCTATATGTAATTACATTATACTCTATTTAGGGAAATAATGTCACGTCTCATTAACCCAACAGAAAACGATAATAAAATTACTTTTTAATTGCATTTTTCCTATTTTTTTTTTTAAATTTAGATTCAACCAAATTATTGAAGCATTTAAGATCACTTACAAACCAGATGTTTTAACGATATTATCTCCGATTATCGTGGCGTGTTCTTGGTAAAAAGAAGACTGAAGTTCTTTAAGTTCAGATCAAACGTTTATTTTAACGACGTTTTCGGATGACCCCACGACCCTCGCTTCAAATTCGTTTATTCGAGCAAGACAATGTCGAAGTATGTAAATGCCAGAAACATTACAAAACAAATATATGTGTGGGTACAAAATGGGAACGAAAAAACGAACGAAAATTGTCATTTCTATGCGCAATCCGGATTCCGGCAGTTTCGCGCTCCAGCAGACTGAATCGCTGATTCATACACAATTTTTGTTTTTGTACATGCATATGTGAAATTATGGAAAAAAGTACAATTAATGCTTTTGTACAAAAAAAAAACATATCCGCATTTTATTTAAATAAATAAGTTTAAATAAAAATAGAAGGAAATATAATATTGAATTGTAAAAAGAGTTTTTCATTTAAAATTTTATGTGTTTATTAGAAAAAGAGTAGTTAGCTTTAACAATATGAAAATGGCAATAATGAAACAGGAACTTTTGTTTTTATACTGCACGAGCCGCCACTGGTTATTATTCCAACGAAATGTGTCAATTGAATTATCTATGAAAGAGTTACAAGTTTTATTTATATCAATAAGAAATAATGAAAACGTTTGAATTAACACAAGTATTTTTTGTTAATTTCCAAAAAAAACTGCTAGGAACTACTGAAAGACCTTATAGACGAGTCGCTACTGGTTATAACTCATCACATTAGTTATATTTATACATAAAAAAAGTTAGTAAATTATATTTTTATACGAAAACTAATAACTTTAGAAAATGATAATTTCTTAATTTAACACTAAGATTTTCCAAAATGAAAATGTATGAAACTTTACAAAACAATATTAAACTATACTTAGAATTCCACCAAGGTAACCAATTTATATTTTCCAGTACACGTGATTCTATTTGCCCCGTGTAATTCAACTGGTCCATTAAATAGTTCTATTTGAGCGTCTTCAATTCGTTATCTAATCTCGCCTTAACTTGCAATCTAATCTATTTCACATAATCCTCTCTATGCACACACCTTAGTAATACACTTATAGAAAAAAAAGGTGCAGATAATAAACGTAAACTTGTTTATAACACAATTTATTTGATTAAAGTTAAAAAGACACCTTTCGTATTTGAATAATTTGTATTTTGTCTTAAGTGTGTATAAAGTTGCCTACATTAACTTCGTTTGTTAATCTATTTAAATGTTTTGTTTTTAGTATATAGAAATAATTCATTTATTATTATCACAACTTTAATTTGATTATAGCTTAAAAACAACGGTATTATTTTGCATTAGACTAGATAATTCTTGGATTAAGTTTGTTTTGTATTCACTCAGTCTGTTTAAATTGTGTATCTAATGTTGCATGTATTAAGGATAAGGACTAAACGTTTCCGCTCAGTTCGGTGTAAGAACAGGAAAGTCGTGCACATTTATTAAGAATTCATACATTTTCATTCAAACAGTGTCTAATGTTTCGAATTTAACTGATCTGGAATGCATACGAATGCCCAATTTATTCAAATCCGCGCAACTAATGCGCATAATCACATTCAAAATAATACTATAGAGTTTTATTAAGTTACGTAAGAGTTAAGCGCTCAGCATTCCGGCTATGCAAGCCGTTGCGAAGCAAACTATGGTACCGGCGAAGTAAGCCCTGAAGACGTGCCTCGTGATCAGGTGAGACTTTTGCGGGATAAGAGCGCTCAACGTGGAAATCATTATGCCAACTGATCCGGGATTCGCGAATCCGCAAATCGCGAACGTCGCAATCACTTGGGATTTTGGCTAAAAATACATGTGATTAATTTTTGTTTGTATAAAGTTTGGTAATAATCTTACGGTTAGATCCATTTCTTTGAATTTGCTGAACGCCGCAAACTCGTTGACCATCATTTTCAGTCCAATGAGTTGTCCCACCTTCGTGCATTCCGGCCACGGCACTCCAAGCACGAAGCTTACTGGAGTGAAGATGTAACCAACTATCAATTCTATAGTCCAGAGTTCGTCTTCAGCCGTGAAACCTGATTTGAAAATCAACAAAAAAACGGTTAAATGGACAAATTTGTATGATGAAATCTGAACAATACCAACTAAGCCTCCGAACCATCCAAGTACTCCGTTGATGAAGTAGACTGTAGCCACGAAGGCGATTAAATTAGCTAAGATTCCTAAGACTATTTGGGTTGCCTGCGAAGCTCCTTGACTGGCTGCGTCTAATACCGAGGAGAATTCCCTAAAATATTCAAATAAGTATATTGTTTATATAATTTTTTTTTCAGCCATTACGATTCCACTAAAGCCACGTTATCTTCGAACGTCTCCGGTTCTTCTATTTCAGGAAACAGCAATTTGCTGAAAACCAAACCCGCAGGAGCTGCCATCACGCTAGCCGTGATCAGATGAGCAGCGTTTGCGCCGTAGCTTATGTAAGCCGCTAAAACGGTGCCTGAAACTGAAGCAAAACCTCCGGTCATGACTGAGTGAATTTCAGAACCCGTCAAATTTATTAGGTAAGGCTTCAGGAGTAGCGGAGCTTCCGTCTGAAAGAAACGTTAGGTTTGTATAATAAGTTCATTGATCATAGAGTTTTATGATCTGTCAGCTGTCACCATATTAGGCTTTAGATTAGTAAATAATATTTGCTTTTTAGATATCTTACTTGTCCCAAGAAAATGTTGGCAGCACTGTTGACGCTCTCACAGACTGATGTACCCATGATGGCTCTCAAGAACATGCCAAAGTTCGCGACTACCCTCTGCATGATTCCTACATGGTACAGAATGTTGATGATGAAGGCCAAGAAGTAGATGGTGGAGATGGCCTCGAACGCGAAAATATGGTACTCGTGCACCAGTTTATCTCCGTAGACGAAAGCCGATCCTTCCTTCGCGTATCCCAAGAACGTGGTGACTTTATCTCCAACGCACGCAAAGATCCTCCTTCCCGTCTCCCATCGCAACGTGAACAGCCCGAACACGAATTGCAGAATCATACCCCAGATGATCGTGTGCCATTTTATCTGCGACGCATCGAAAAGTAACAACAATCCTTTTCATCCCCAAGAATCATACCTGTTTCCTGTGCACGCTGAATGCGAAAGATACGATTAGCAAGATCGCCAATCCAGCGAGCGGGATCAAACGTTCCGGTTCATCCCAGCAATCGTAAATCAGGAATGCCAATATCACTCCCAAGATGATCAAATGAATTACAGCGTAGACGTACCTAAAATCAACACATTTTCGAGCTACGAATCATTGCGCAACTTATTATTATTACACACACTCAACTTTGTGTGTAGATAACAAAAAAAATACACAATGGATTTATTTGATACGCAATCACGGATAAAATGCTGTCTGTCATGGTGACACTGTCATAGTTACCTAGCACCGAAGATTTTGGCGATCTTCTCAACAAACGGTTCCCACAGGCAACGTGAGACAGGTCCTAGCATGTAAGGCTTTATCAAGTAGGCGTAACTGTATCCGAATGCTATGAAGATGTACAGGATCATGAGGAAACCGTAGCCATCGCAGCACGTGTGCCTCAGGACATCTGCAAGACAAAATAAGAAGAGTTTAATATGGAAATCCTTTAAAAGTATTTTGATTTATACTCACCGTCCGTTTCGACGATGAAATACTGCGTTGCCCATGCGAAGTGAGCTGTGATGACTGCCAAAACTACAAACGGAACGAATTTTTGAATCTTTTGACTTCTGCTCGATGTTTCCACCTAAGTTTAAGCAAATACATTTTCAAAATTCTGTTGTCAAACATCAATTGACATTAACTAAAGCTGGTTGATACTATTAACAGTTCTTAAAGGTTCAACCCCCGTTACTAAGGACGCTTCAAATATAACTAAGTCTTAATGACAGTTGCGACCATTAGACGCATTGTTGTTGCTATGCACTCAATGACAGTTGCTAAGGACGCTTCAGAAATAACTAAGTCTTAATGAAAGTTGCGACCATCAGACGAATTGTTGTTGCTATGCACTCAATGACAGTTGCTAAGGACGCTTCAAAAATAACTAAGTCTAATGACAGTTGCGACCATTAGACGCATTGTTGTTGCTATGCACTCAATGACAGTTGCTAAGGACGCTTCAAAAATAACTAAGTCCTAATAACAGTTGCGACCATTAGACGCATTGTTGTTGCAATGCACTCAATGACAGTTGCTAAGGACGCTTCAAAAATAACTAAGTCCTAATAACAGTTGCGACCATTAGACGCATTGTTGTTGCAATGCACTCAATGACAGTTGCTAAGGACACGATCAACGTTGCTAGGGACGCCTTACGGTTGCTAAGCAGAAAATAAAAATAGTATAAAATTATTATTCAACAGTGCTGAACGTATTCAGGCAGAAATTTCGAAAAAATAATAGTTGATAACAAATTTTTCGCTTGACTTGAATAAATTATACATGTATTGTTTTTATGCACTTTTTTAAATTATCTTGTTATTAGAGCAAAAAAAATCATATAGGTAAAAAATGAGATTGTTTAATAATAAATAAATACATATTTTGCAATATCTAATCAGATATAAAAAAAGAGTATTCGATTAAATTAATTAAAACATGTTTTTGTTTCTCAATCGTCTATATTTTTATCCAAAGTAATTAAACAGAAAATTATTATTTTTGTCGAGAAAAATTAAAATATGTTTTAACAGATTCTAACAGGTTTCGAAAGGAACTGTCGTTATCAACAATAGAGTCATTAAGTTTTATGTTTATTTTATTTATTTTTGTTCGTATTATCACTAATTTAAGAAACACGTTTAGTTCAACAAGATTGTTAAATGTTTAAGCTTATTTAATTGATATAAATGAATCTAATAAGAAATGAAATAATTTAAAGTAAATTTTTATATAATTATAACAAATGTTTCTTATTTTCCATAAGCAGGATGTGTGGTTAATTAAAGGAAACTGCTGAAACTGATATAGATTAAAAATATAAACAAATTGATTTGGACAATATTAGATTTGTTTATTATAGAAATACACAGTTTATTCAATAGATTTGTTAGGTAAGATTTTTTTTAGTTGAAACAAACAATTCCATAAAAGTATAATATAATATTGTACGTGTAGCAATTTTTATTGCAAAAGTCTATTCAATCGTTTCCAACGAATGGATTATTCAATAGAAAACAAAGCAAGATTACTGGCTGCAGCTAATAAATGAGACGTGAAGAATTCCACGTATTGCATTTTTAAACTTACGTTTAATTCCTAACAATTATTTATGTTTGTTTATGCATTTCTTTTAATTTACGTCATCGTTCATTATTGGAGATTGTTTATTATTGCAATATGTTTGCTTTAACTACAAATTTGTTTGTAAATCATGTTGTTTTCCCCAATTATTGTATAAATTAAAAATGACAAAGATTTCAAAATAAATTTCGTTACTAAAATGATTTTCAGTATGTCTGTAATGATAACAAATAACCACGTGATTGGGACCATAACATGGAACTGTATATTATTATGTTGGATAATGAAATTTAAATTATGACCGACTTTCACTTCACAACAAAAGTAAACCAATAATAACAATAACACATCACATGATGTAAAACTTAATAAATATATTACGTTTATTTCACTTAAACCTGAATTTGTATCATTTAGAACACAGCACAATTAACGTACCTGCAGATCGACGAGGATGTCCGATGTGGACGACAGCGTTGTGTTTTTATCGCCATCAGTCATCGTACTTTGGGTTCTCGAGGAACACTAAAAGCGCGCTCTACCTCCAATCCAGTTCTAAACAAAAATACAATAATTATGTAACATAATTATAGATAATTCAGTAGATCGTCGATTAGAAACTTCGTGAAAATCTCCTCTTTTCAAGTGCCTCGAAAAAATAATAATAATCAACGGCGCATTTTTGAACTAATTATTATTATTAATAATTTAAATCATTACTTACTAGTTATCTGGAAATTCCATATTTGTGTTACTCATTGCTAAAATATGCAATAAACTCGTTTAAAGTTACGAAAGTTCTATAATTTAAGTACTTTTCATACAAAATTTAAGAATCTTGTAATCAATTTACAGAGAACTCAAATGTGTGTGTTTTAACGGCGGCATTTGCTGTTTGGATGAGAAACGTTATTGAAAAAAAAAATCAAGAGTACTTGACGTCAGTTGAATTCCCCACTGCTGTTAGCGATTGAGCGCAAATGTATAAAATTGTAAAGGTGTTATGGTCATACGCAAGTAATTCGCTCCAATCTGAGCGTATTTACAAGTTACGCAATTGTTTTTATGACATGATTACCCGTCTTAAACTGTTGAATCATTTACATTTATATGAATATTATTAAATAAAAATTAATTAATAGATATGTTGTTTTTATGAATGATTTTATTACAATAATTTTAACTGTAACTCTTAATTTGCATAATTAGATGTATTTTAGGTTATAGTTAGTCTAGGTTAGATTTGGGTTTGTTAATGACAGGTTAGGTTAGGTTAATTGGGATGTCTCAATGACAGTTTAGGTTAAGTTTTGTACTGAAGTTTAAATGATTTTATGGAAATAATAAAGACATTGCGCAAGCAAATAATATAATTATTGAGATTAGGTTGAATTAGATTAAATTAGGTTACGTTTTATTATTTTTAAAGCTTGTTGATAAAAAATTAAACAATTCGTCAAACAAATAAATAAAATAATTTTTATAGCAATTGTTTCTATATTTGTTTATGATTATAATAAGTTTGTAAATGAAACATATGCAACTTAAATTACATTATTATACGTTTTGAATTAAGTTGTCAACTTGGTTGCATATTTCCTAAAACAATTTTGAACAC